CCCCCCCTCCAAAACCAAGGAATTCGTGTGATGTATCAATTTACCCCCCCCCCTCCCTTCCAAAACCAAGGAATTCGTGTGACATATCAATTTACCACCCCCCCCCCCCCCAAATTGATAGTATCAATAATACGCTGTTTTCTGGCCGTGGTCGGCCCCCTACTGCTAAAGCAGATAAATCTCCAGCTCCGCTACGCGAGCTTTCGTGATTTGGCCACACCTGCAAAGTCACCGTACTTCCTCTTCGGCGCAGGGCTGCTTTTGCCGTAGCTTTCTTCTTCTCAACCTCATGCCATCATGAATGGCTCTCCATGTACCTCACATCCCCTTCGTGCCTCCCTCCTAAGTAACTAGCAGCCAACAGATGACATTCTTTTAGGCACGCGACCACATGGTCCAACCGGCCATCCGGGCTTTGCTGCATGAGTCGCGGATCTGCAGTCGCCTTGCGAAGACAGCTTCGCAACATCATCCCCCATGAGTTCTGGACATGGTTTGCGCTATCGCTAGCTTGGCTAGCTGTTTCTGGATGTGTGACCATGTGTGGGGTGAATAGATACGCCACTTGCGCCTCCAAGTCAAAGCAGTTGAAACGGTAGAAGTCTCCACCTGCTTCATCTAGCAGTCCGACCCAAGACCTCGCCACATCGGAACTATGGGAAGTGTCCGGCATGGACAGGCAGAAACCTTTGCTTGGACTGTCATGCCAAGCTTGCAACTGCTCGCGTTTCGTTTGCCCGTTCACATCTGAAGAGTGGTGGATGACCTGGGGCAAGCAAAGCTGTGATGCTAAAGCTCTGTGAGTGTGTCAGAGGAGGCCATGGCCCAGGTGAACTGTTGCGACCTGAGCTGAAGCACGTGTGCTACGCATCAGCACCACATGCTGCAGAAAGAAGAAGAAGCAGAAGAAGAAGAAGAAAAAGAAGAGGAAGGGAGCGTGGAACCAGCTCATCCGCCGAGGAGGGGTGCGGTGCCCAGCGAAGTGCTTGGACTCCACGTATGCATGCCCAACGTTTCCTCACCGCCCCAGAGTATGCAGTTCGGTTGAAAACTCTCCCTGCCCTCCCAGCCGCGGGTTTCGGTCAAAGAAGATCGCCCGTGTGTCACGTCTGCCCACCCCCCTCCAACCCTTCATCAAGCTCATGAGATCCCGACCATGTTTCTACTATTATTGCGCAATGTGGGCACTCCCCGATGCGTATTTGAAACCAGGCGGTGTGAGACAAAGCTACCAACCAGTGAAACAACTTGGCACCTCAAAAGCCTCTAAGCGTCCCACAACACGCGACCACACACTATGTTTAGACTGCTACAATCAAGGGCGTCCATAATGTTGACTTTCTACGCGGCGTGGAGCACAGTGTTGCGGGGCCATATGCCCCTGACACTTCCCACTGAGCACCAGCATTAGCGAGGCCTTCGGCCAGCCCGCGGGTCGAGGGCCACGGGAGCAGCGCCCGCGGAAAGAATGCATCAGCAAACCATTCAGGGCCATGCATGAGGAGCCAAATTGGAGGAAAACTGCGTGTTTAGGAGGCTTTCTGGCTCCTCACGGCTCCTTACTGGTTTCTCATGTTGCGGGTGCATGCGCACGCGTGCGTGCGCACGTGTGCGTGCAAGGGCATCAAGAGCATCAGCGGCTCGGGCCTGGGAGCCGGAAAGCCTCCTAGACACGCTGCTTTTCTCAAGCTTAATGGCTTCTTGCCCCCGTCCCCGACCTGATCCCACCCTGCAACTGGACAGCCTCATCAGGAGCATCATTGGGTTTGGGCTCGAGGTAGATATGCCCTCTTCTGGCCTTAATTGACTACTCAACTCCCCCCCCCAACTGGACAACCTCGTCATGGGCATCATTGGGCTTGGGCTGGGGCACGTGATTGTTAGCTGGCTGGAACCCCCCCCACCCGCCCTCCGGCCACCCCCTTTCCCCGCCCCCCCAACCGGACAACCCCTGCATAAGTGTGACGCTCCTGCTCATGATGCCGAGGTTTAAGGCTTCGGATTCAGGGTCGGCGGGGTCGGCCGATGCGCTAGGCCTAATGTGGCCGTTGTGCCAGTCATTCTAGAGGTTGTCTCATCTCTGTATGTTGATGGTTTGAGGTCATGACGCGTGCTGCTCATAGCAGGGTCTCCAGCATGCCCAGCAGCCTTGGCCTTCAAGCGGAGAGCAAACTCACGCAACGCACGCAACAGCCAGGTTCCACGGCTTCCCTCGGGCCTGCCGGGACACCCGCCTTGCAGACAAGAATACAGATCCAAAGACTGTGCGCTCTGCCGCGCTGGTCGACAAACCCCCCCTCCCGCCCAGCTTCAAGTTCTGGCAAGTAATGCTGGCCTTGACAGCAGCATCAGGCACAGAAGCGCGAATTTGGACAGAGGCAAACTTCTCGGCTGTCACCTGAAGGCTCTGAACTTGTCTGGCTGCATGTATCAGATCATATCAGCACCAGGAACTTCTGAGGCAACGTCCCTGGCAGTGTAGGACGGAGGCTTCGGCCTGTTGACCTTGCCTCCAGCCTCTGAAGCCTCGGCGACCTGACAGGGGTCGTCAGACACGTCTTCTGACATCTTGGCAAATCTAGTCTCAGTCTCCTGGCACTCTGGTCCCTCAAGTCACTTCATGTCACTCACTTCTGCTCCGGGCAAAGAGGCCCAGGCCGCCGCTGCCCGGGCTGCGGCGTCTTGCGTCTGAACCAGCCCTGCGGAGCCGAAACTGCCCGCACCACGGACGAGGTCGAGAAAACAAAGGTCGGCAGGGGCGCGCCTAGCCGCAGCGATGGATGAGGTGCGACAAACCGAGGAGCATGATGCACGGAGCAGACCATCGCACCGGCGTAGTCGGAGGTGACCTCAGTCAGTGGGAGAGGAGAGAAAGGCGCCGATATCCAGCCGCCCAAGGTTTCACGAGGGCGAATTTTCATGAGGGTGAAAGCAGTGAGAAAACTCCGAGGCGCTTGCAGCGAGCCTGGAACGCACCGCCGGAAACATGGTGAAGTTGCGGCCGCTGACCTTCGTGCCGGGCCTCTCCACATTGGCAAAATTGACTCGAATAGTTGTCAAGAAACACTCTCCGAGACCCGGGCAGTCGATCTTTCCTTGGCAGTTCGGCAACCAGTGGCGACTAAGGAAAGGCATTTGGTGTAACTTGCAGTCTGTCTCGGAAGCAAATCTCAAGGCCACTTCTTGTCGAGACTCGGAATCAAGTCCAAAACATAGCCCTTGTCTTCGTGGATGCAGGCTACCACCGTCATCTGTGCGGAATGCGGTGCTCTTCCGGTCCAGCTCCCCAAAGCAAAATGAAAAGAAAGAGGAGGCACCGTGTACTCGTTGCCCCCCGAAGCCAGGATTGGATCAGGAGCATCTGCATCTGCGTGCCTGAGCCACGGACGTTTCCCACAGCACCTCAACTGAAACGCGTATCGCCCACCTGGATACGACCTTGTCGACACCTGGGGAAGACTTCCAAGCCTCAGACATGGCATTGGCCAGAGGGTTCGCCGGGCGGGCAGTGCCGGTATACCAGCAAAGCACACGATACCCTAAACCCACATGACTCTGATGGGAAGCCCAGTGACGCTTTCTTCACTCTTGCTTCCGACACATGAGTAAAAACGCCTAACCGCCTAATGCAGTGTTGGGCTGCATCTCCCCGATTGAAGATGAGAGCGGCGCCCGAAAATAGTGAATGTCACACAGCAAGTTGTTGATGACGTGCTTCTTTGTCACCTGCACTGCTCTGCATTTTGCATCTTGCTCCTTGTTGTGCCTGACTGGCACTGACTGGCCTCAACACCTATGTAACCGTCCGTGCTCACCCGTTGATCCACTTTGCTGTAGTCCGCTTCAACCTGACCGGGTCGAAGAGCAAGAGAGGAGAGAGAGAGAGCAAGAGAGAGCAAGAGCGAGCAAGCGAGTCAAATTCCCAAAAGAAGAAGAAAGTAGCGAGAGCAAGAAGGAGAGACTGACTGAGCGCTTGCTTGCAACAAGATCCAGAACTGAACCAACACTTCGCCTTGCGAGGCGGGCTTCCATCCCAGGAGCAGCACATCCTCAGAACTTGTTGCATGAGCTCCTGTCCCCAATGGCTACGGGCCTGTCGCATCCGTTTCCGAGGCTGGTACTCAGTGTGGCCATCGGCCTGGACTAGACTAGACCATTCTGCAGCGGCGCGCAGTATTTGAACACCGGGACCGCCCACATCCGCCCACGATCCCACCCGAGCCAGAGATCGCAGCGAGCTCTGGCACGAACGCCCAAAGATATCCAGAACGTTCCAGATCATGCCAGAACCTCTCGTTGTACTCTCATCCAGCGGCGGCAGGCCCTGAAACGCCAAGACAATGAAAAGGACGCTCCGTGGACACGCGTTGGCGGCACATGGGGTCAGACTAGAGTACGCAACGTGACTGCATGGTCTCTGCAGTGCAGCCTCACACCGTCGAGAGATTCTTGCGATTGCCTGCGTGCGCCGTTGCTGTTTTTGAATCGACCGAATACCGCTACGGGAGTCTGAGCGTGCTCATGTCCATGTTGCAATCGGCAATGACGACCCAAAATGAGGGTCGGAGGTCCGAAATCGAGCTCTGGGAAGCGCGTGTGGGAGGATTTGCTTGGAGCGCTGACGATTCGAAACACGACACTGGATTGAAGCAGAAACCCTTCGTGCACACGTGTGAAAGGAGATATCGAACTACCCGGCAAGCCGGCGTGGTTGCAGTGGTGTCCCATCGTAAACTTTATGCACAAACGTGAATGCTGACACAGCCCCAAAATGGCATGCAACGCCAGCAGATCTAGATCTGTAGGTTTGCCACGTAGCTGATGGCGCAGTGGAGCCATTCGCCGGCCATTGGAGGCCTGGGTCTTCAACACATGTGTATCAGCACCACCTCCGGCAAGTCACTCAAGAAGGCAGAGGCACTTGCACTGGCAGGATTGTGGGCTGACCATTGTAGCAGAACACGATGTGCCAGGCCTCAAAGGTTTCTTTCTGCTAACGGCTACCACTGAATCCTCTCCGAAGAGGCCTGTGGTTTCCCTGTAGCTTCACCCGCCAGCATGCACTCCTCGGAACTCTGCATGGCGCTGGCCTCCGAGGCAACGGTGCTTTGCAGAGTCGTGTGGCTGGGTGTGGCTCCCTGCTTCCAGTGCGATGCGAAACTGGTCCCTGTCAGCACTGCCCTTCTTCGCCTCAGCCCAAGCAGATGCAGTCGACCCCAGTCACGGCCTGTCCCTGTACTTGCCATTGCCGACTTCTGTTCTAGGCCCCTTGCAAAGCACGAGATGATGCTCTGGCACTGGCAGGATGCGAAACGGAATAGGAATATTGGAATAACCCACGACTGGCAGCAGTCGTACTGCAAAGGAATCCCGTCCTTCGCACCCTCCTCCAGAAGAGCATAACCACGAAAGCGAAGCTTGAAGTCGAGAGTGAAGCTGTCCTGTCAACTGGAATTCGAAAGAGTCAAGCTAAGCTAAGCACATGCTAAGCACTCAATGAGATAAGGATGCGATAGCTTGAGGTTGAAAGGGTGGCTATGTGCAGGCTGCAGTCCTCCGAGATTCCGAGGCGGAAGGGAGTTTGTGTCACCTCTTTATGGGATGGCGCCGGTTTTGCCATGTACTCAGCCAACGCAGCATAGTCGGAAGATGCTTAGAGCGCGGCAGATTTCATGTTGGAGAAGTTCATGGCGTACTGTCTCAGCCGGTGCGGAACCACCTGAACATCTTTGGAACCTTCGTTATTGAGGAAGCGGGAAGCAGCGAGCCCGAAATAAGTTGAGTGGGGAGCAGCTTCCATGTCGATGATGTTCATCAGGAGCTGGATCGCTGCCATCCGCAGCCCGCGAGCCAACTCTTGCGGACCCTGGCTTCCAGATTCGAAGCCAACAAAAACAACACAAGCCAAAAAAATAAACAATTCTTGGTGCCTTATCCCGTCCATGACGCTGCAAGTAGGTTCTCAGCAAGAACAGCGCATGCTGGAATGTGACCACGCAGTGGTGCTGGGATGTGCTATGCTGGGCTGCCAACTTCGAGTTGAGAACGTGGAAAAGCACGCTGTCAACCTGACAGAGTTGAGCTGCGTGGACTCTGCGAACTACTGGGATAAAGTAGCCCCCCCAAGGTTCGTCAATGCCTCAAAGCCGAAAAGACAGATGCTTCCACCTTACAGTGCCACCTCCGAACACACCCAAAATAGGATTCCCACTGCACGATTCCACTCTATTCATGGAGCCTCCTGAGATATCATCGGCACCCAACAGGTGGGTTGCGTGGTCGCGAGCAGCGGATACGTCACACATCACTACCCTCAAACTGTCATCTCCGGGTGGACATTCGGGTCTCATGAGGGCGGGCACTCAAACTCGGAACCCTTGTCTCACCACGCTACTCAACCTGAACCGAAAACATAAGGCAAACAAACATCGATACCAAAGCGTAGTAACGTAGCTCTGTGTCTACCGAATGGATTCCGGCCTGGTGCCACTTGTCGGAGATCACCAGCCACATCAGCGGGGACGGCTGCTGGCCTTGGTGCAAGTTGAGATGGACTGACGTGGCTTGGCTGGTGCGATACCGTCATGACATCTCAGATGCTAGCGGTGAAAAGGGTACATGATTGACCTCAGGAGACAGCAACCCAGCTGTAAAGTACATGCACACACCGCCCAGAACGTGCAGCAGATCAAACACGGGCCCTGGCTCACTGCGCTCGTTGGCTTCCTCCAATGGTACAATGTCTTTCTCCTGCCGACGGCTGGAAACTTCATGATGAACAGCCACTCCGACCATTGCGACCATTGAAGTCTCAGTAGTCTCAGTTCGTTTGCCACATTTCCAAACCCGGGCTCCGACGGGAGCATGTGCCGAGACCTCACCAAGCATGCTCCAGGGGCTGTCAAGTATCTTGCCACCCTCGACTGAAACGATGCGGTGGCCTGAAGTAGGCGTTGTAGACCTGACTCCTGGTAAGGCCCTCGTCATGGTAGGTCATGTGGGCAATGAGACCTGTCACGCGCTGCCAGTTTTCATCTCGAGGTGGCAGCATGCCACTTGGCGAGCCTTCCATGATGCTAACGGAATTCTGGTAGTTGAGCAACTCCGGCGGTGGAAAGCCAACGAAGCAAACCGCCCGCAACGGTTCTGGCCTGAGTGAGAGTCTTTAATTTCAGCACACATACACACACACACACACACACACACACACACACACACACACACACACACACACACACACACACACACAACACACACACACACACACACACACACACACACACATATATGGCAACACACAGCAACAAAGGCTTAGAGCGTGCTGGAGAGTTTCAGGCGTCCACGGTAGGGAGGAGAGCTGTATGCGACCCTGAAGCTTTGCTTCCACGACTTTCTCGCCCTGCGAATGCAGATTTATGCAACTTGTGGTCTTTCCCAGCAAGCTCTTGCGGAACTCATCCCGTCGTTCCGAACTGCGTGCAGGGCTTGATTCGGGATGATCTTGTGCACCGCACATGAGTTCTGAGATCTTAACTACGCTTTCTTACTTTTGCGGTCAACTCGGTTGGTGAACTCGCTTGTTGCTCGCTGCAATAGCTTTCGACCCATAGAACACCGAGCGCTGCTATGCCGGTAGTCTTGCCAAGGCACTCACGGCGGGTTGATTCTGGCGTTCCAAGCATTTCAGTGCTGGTTTCATTCTTATGGGGCCTGCGGCCTGCGTCGGCATTTTATGCACAACATCCACAGCAACGATGCAGTTCTCCCAAGGTCCTGCAGGTAAGCAGAGACGGAGCGGTGGTGGATCGAGAGCACCACCTCAAAGGGGCCCAAACACCCGAATAACACACTCGACTCACCCGATTCAAACGTCGTGAAATGATTCAAATGCGTGATGTAAGGGATTAGGCGAGGGGCATGCATCCAAACGCCAGCTTTCACAAGCGCCAACTCGCTTGCTGTCTTTCCATCAGCGACTGTCAAACACCCAACGTAATCGGTTCTCAGCAAGATGTTGCCGCGAGCGTTGACTCTCGAGCAAGGGTGCCTTCCTCTTCGTTGTCTGGAGCTTTGCACTGGTTCCCCAGCCAAAGCTCCAGCCGGCCGTCCTCAAAGCAAAAGTCTGAATGGAATGCACCACCGTTACTCTGCGCACAGCTGATTCCCCAAGACTAACACCCAGTGGAGGACTGCAAGACGTTGGCCCATAAGGCAAAAATCTGCTGGAGCTTCGGATGGCACATCTTCGACCCCTCCTGCCCAGCGTGCCCGTGACCAGCGGCGAGGGCAACGGAGATAACGGGTGTGCCAGTGCCCGCGGGCATGTAGTGACCTGGCTATTATGTCACCATAAGGGGCAGCCAGGGTTGACAGGCTCAGACGCAGCTTCCAGGCTGCCGGCTCATCAGAAAATACGCCTTGCGCCCGAATTCCCCTCTCGAGGTGGGCTCCTGCCATAGATCACACCACGTTCCATGCCGCGAGCATCAAGACTCATCCGAGCGCCTGCATGAAGATCCAGAAGCTGTAGGCGAAGGGAGGGTGCAAGATGCAGTAGCCTGCTGTTTGACTTTTGGAGTCTTTCTCGCAATCTTTGATGGGCCCTCAGATGAGAAGAAGAAGTCGAGGTCGGTGCTCGGTATGGAGAAAGACAGGCTTTGAGGCGGCAGGCCCTGGCAGTGTTCTGGAAAGTTGTGGCTCTTCGATGCCGATTACCCTCGGCTGCCCACTGGCTGCGACATGCCTGGTAGCACTTGGTGGTCTTAGTGTCGGGCCTTGGTTCACAAAGTCTCGAACGGAGCTCAAGGCGGGAAGCAGGACAAGGTCTGGGCTGCTCCATGCACAGCTTTGAGAACTTGACCTGAGTCACTGTCTCATGGTATGCTACGGATGGGCCCACTAATTCACTCCAACATCTTGCAACGCCAAGGCGCCATTTTGAATAGACGCTGCTCTCGAACTGGCCTGTATCTACCGGAGCGACAGGCTGCAAGCAATGCACGGAAGACCGTTGAAGGGGCTCCGTTCTCGTCTCGAGCCTTGCGCTCAGCGCCGAGATGGCCCGGAAGCAGGAGGCACCTGAAGATGCTGAAGATGCTGTCAAGATGGCAAAACAAAAATGCCAACAACTGCCAATATGTCAAGAAGGCTTGCTGTGCAGAGCGGAAGGCCAAGTGCCACGCGTAAGCTCGGCTCCTTCGAGCTCAGAAGCAAGGTGACGAAGTTCAATAGATCCTGGATATCAGGCATCTTGCCATCATCCTGCCTCCTGTCACAGCTTTCTCAGGCGACGACGGACTTCTTCAGCTCTTCTGGCATAGGCTTGTCCTTGTCTCCTTTGCCTGCCTCCAAAGGGGTCACAAAATCGTTGCCTCAACCAAGAGCTAAGCGATTCGGGGGTTTGGGAAGCAGATGGTTGAAGGGCGCAGGTCCATTCTCCCTTATCTCCCTTTTTCAGCTTTGCAGCTGCGTCCACACTGGGAAGTCGGCACTGGGAAGGTTGGGAAGGTGGGAATGCGCAGGGACGATGCAACATGGACAGCGGCGGTGTCTCACAGACTCCGACCACTGATCTCCCAATCTAAGGTGCCTCCCGTTTCCAAAGCCCTCTCCACAGCCGGGCCAAATCTGCGCAAGAGCTCCTTCCATAGACCATGACGTGCCAGGTCCAACACTTCCAGCGCTTCTTGCGTTTCGGCCACTTCTGCCCAACGCAAGAGCTTGCTCAAACGAAAGGTCTCCACATCTCCAAATTCTTTCGGAATGCTCTGCAGCAAACGAGGCACCTTGAACAAAGGCTGAGCAGCATGGTGATTAGTGCTGGTCGAGGCGATGGCCCAGTCAAAGCACCGCTGGTAGTCCTAAACGCATGTCACGCACTCAAAACGTGATTGAATCAAAACATCGTAACACCCCTCAAAGCTCAATATCGAAAACGAGAGAACTTAAAAATGGCTGAAGGCTCCTTTAGTCTCTTTCAAGCCCTTGTCCTCTTGCGTTTGCACCGTCAGGGCGCACCCGACTTGGTGCCTTCGTTGTAGCTTCTTCCGCGCAGCCTCGCGCGTGTCGCCTGCCCGGGCAATGAAGTGGCGTAGCTCCGCAGGATAGTCGGATGCATACCACTTTGAGTACTGCTCAAAGTCATCGAGCCCTAGGATAAGACGGTCACGAAGGGCACGAAAATCCTCCATGACAAGTCCGACTGAGCCGAAGCCCGAAAAGGTTGCGTTGAAGCGGTACGCGAACTTCCAATCCAGCTGCCCAGATATTTCGGAGATGAACGTCTCAAAATCGAGAATTCTGCCAGTCGATTTGGAGTACTTCACGAGCTTGAATGCCGGGTTGTTGTAGTACACGGGACTCAGTGCAGAAGACAAAAATATGGGGCCCGCGCCCGGAGGCGGATCAGGCAGGAGCCTGAACTCATCTTTGTGGACGTGGCCAAAGAGCTGTGCTGCGATCGTGCTTCCCAGCAACCTGTCTTGTACGATCTCCAAGTATCGGGCCAAGAATCTGGGATGCCAAAGCTCCGTGTAACCAAACGTTTCAATCCCCGGTGGAATGTGGCCAATAATCCAAACCCTGCGGCCTTCATCTGCAGCTTCTTTAAGCCTTCGCGACAGCCAGGCAAACTGATGGAAAGGGTCCTCCTCTGGCTGCACGGGCTGGTGTCGCACAGAGTAAATGACTGTAGCAAGGCTCAGGATTGTAAGGTTTCCCACGCGAGCTTCGAAGTAGCCTCCGTACCTGAACTGCTTGGCAGCATCAGCATCCAGTGACCAGCTGGAATTCAACTTTGCTTCCAAGAGAGTGAACCAGTCGTTGGCAGGCTTATCGGATGTTACCGGCTGGAAATAGTTCTGCGGACCATCGTCGTTTCCCAGAGCCCCGAAAATTGTTGGCATGTCAGGGAGATGTGCCTTAACAACAGATGCCACCTCTCCAATGACGTTGGAAACATTTGCGTGCGCATCCGGCATGAGCTCAATAGCGTGCCTCGAGAAGTCACCAGTGTAGAGGAGAAAATTTTTCGACTGCCCTGTGGCTTTTGCAGCTTTGGCTGCTGAGGCAATTAAGGCGATGGGAGGGTCGCACCCCATGACGCCGAACAATTGGCCTTCCAAAGCCTGAATGCTCCTCTTGCGGCACTGGCGAATATCGGTTGCATAAAATGGGTCTCCATGCAAATCGGTCATCCAGATGAAATAACCGCTGTCATTGGAGACGCTTCCTCCAGGCTTAAGTTGCAGAAGCGCTGCTGCATCTTCGTTCGGCTGACAACTTGCACGCACGGCAGAGTCTTGGAGTACACTCCAGGCAAGCAGACAGCAGGCCTTTGTCCAAAGCATTGCCGAAGGCCCTCCTATAAGCCCAAAGACTGGGTAGCGAGGATGGCAGGTAAGGCTGAAACTGTTTTGGTGATCACAAGAAGCCTTAAATAGCCGTTTCTTGCCACTGGGTCAATAAAACGTGAGGATCCTGCAAAAGCCAAAGCATGTCAAGTGTTATCGTATCTTGGTAATTTGACCGTAGAGAAGTCTTGGCGGGAAACGCGAATGCATGACTTGCAGCACAGCCGCAGGCTCTTCCCGAGAGAGGGACAGCTAGTGGCTGCCGCTATGTTCTAGTTGTAGATACGAGCGATTGCGGCAGGCAGTCCTCAACATGCACGGCTCAAAACCAGGCAGGCAGAGAAACTTGAGCGCAGAGGCCACGAAAGTAGAAGAAAAAACTTCACCCGAGGACCGCATCACACAGCAGCAGAGCAAACTGAAATAAGACATGCTCGTGTGCAACATGTACCGAAGCAAAACATGCAAGCAAGACGTGACTTGCCAGACACTACAGGCAAGCTAACTACGAAATCCGAAGGCCAGCGCTTGGCCGAAAGCAAGTGCGCAGCCTCCGTACCCGCGACACGACACACCATGCGGGGAAGGAGACGAGAACATCGCTTTTGGGTGAATCATCAGAAGCCGTCAAGGGAAGGGGGCCCCGCCGCAACCTGCAACTGACCCCGAATCCAGACAGATAATTGCTTAAGCAGTGATGGCACTGTGTTTTGCGACTCAAAGCATTTTGGGCCAAGATCCTGCAGTCTCGGATCTGGCTTTCAGCTACGATCAGCTACGCACGTCCTGGCCGGCCTTGCCGAGGCACATGCCCGAGGCGTCCACGCCGAATAAACATCAGCTTACAACTACTATAGTTACTATAGGTACTATGTCATTGCTATTCAATCATCAGCCAGACCCCGTGCCTCCTGTAACTTGGAACTATCGACAGGCGACGGCCGAATCAAGGCATTCCCACGAAGTGTCTCAGACAAGCTGGTCCGAATCTGCTATTGTTCGGTCAAAAGGCTTTCGTAGTGCTGCTTCCCCCAGCTTGCTTTCTGCACAGTCCTTCGCTGGGGTGCGTGCACAGCGCAGGCTGCTGTGAATGATTACCTGCACGTTGCAACATGCTCAGGCTTCCCAGCTCGGAGTAGCTCTGGTTTGAGCATGCGGACGTCAGCTCCATGCCAGCGTCAGCATCTCAAGCCACAACGCAGACCTCTATGAGAGCAAAAGTCTACGGTTCCGTGAGTGTCGAGTCGAGTGCTACTCACACTTACGCCTGGGCGCTATACAGAAGTTCAAATTTGGCACACAAAGTAGATGTCAGAGAGTCATCTGCAGTCCTGCCATATTGTAAACAACTTAGTGGGGTAACGTGGATTCTGCAGTCTCCGCCGCATTCGGCAGAGCCAACTCTGGGATATTCTAGGTATCGTCTTTCGCGCCGCGAAACTGTGCAGCCGTGTGCCACCGTGACACCGTGAATGCCGAAACCCATGCAGGCAAGGAACCATGGTAGCTCCCCTTGCCGGAAGTTAATTAGGTGCAGCATCAAAGGTGCACCTCTGCGCTGGTCACTGTCTCAGCATGCTTTGTACACTTCCTCCCGAGTGGTGGGAGAACTAAGCAACTTGGGGCGACTTGTTGAGACTCAAGAAGCCACCAGTGTCGCCGTGGCCGAAAGCCAGGTAAGCTCCAAAATCCTGGGGGAGAGACAATACTGGTCAGAGAATGCCAAGACATACGCGGCATACTTGTGACGATGATATCCTAGAACATACTCTCAGGCTATAAGATTCAACATGCTCCATGAAACCTTCAATGACATCACATGAGGCACTGCACCTTTGCGATCTGCTCGCCATGCGAGCTGATCAAATTTTGAAGCTTGTTGTTCAAGCCTCGGACACAAAAGCATGCCCGGTCCCAGCACTTTCTCGCTTTGACTACTTTAACCAGGAAGAACCTCTGCACGTATCGGTACGCTTCGCACGAACGGCATGCTGGAATGGCATGAACATGCATGACCTATGCTGAACTGTTGAACGGAGCTTCCGCGTAGCCCGATGCAATGTGCCTTCTGAGCCCTTCTCTGAGGCCCTGTGCTGTGGATTCGACTCAGCGACATCCGGAGGAGGCCGATGCCCTGTCGCGCGAAAGCTAGCCAGATGTCAATACTCAAACAAACGTTGTAGATTCTCATTGCAGAGAGATTTCTGAGTTTCACCGCTGACAACCTCTTTCGATAGAGTTGTGTGTTCTGTTTCCGTCTTGCTTGCTTCAGTGTGATGAACGTAAAGTGAAAGCATAAGGTCGTGCAAAGAAGCCACATTCGACCCCTCCAAGTACATGTCCGAGAGACCGGCGAAGAATCCACCGACAGGGAATCACGAGCCACCTTTGCTCGAAGATGACATGCGAACTATGGGTATATGCATATATGATTTGTCCACATGTGCACGACATGTCAGGGCAGGGCGTTTCAGGCTATCAAGCAGCTTCTCGGTAGATCCAAGGCCCATACCTGGAGCATCTCGATGGCTTCTCGAATCCTTCCTCGGAACTCTAGTGGCAGGCTCTTGAGGGTCGACTTTCTTCGGCTTTCTGTGCAGTTCCTGCCTTCATCCATTTCAAGCTTGTGCTGGATGCGCATGATGTCATCCACGGCGCAGCCTTCTTCAATACAACCTGCGGGGCTTCAACTCTGTCCCAGGTGCCACCTTACATAATCTTACATCATCTTACATCTGCATCAACTTGTTCTGCCAGCCTGCTGCCTCTTCCTCCACAAAGTGAGTTGCCTTGCAATGGGGGGGGCTTGTCATGGAGTGCTGCCGGGCCATACGTCATTGAGAAGGCTGACCTCTGGAAGGGGCAAGTGGCGCTCTTCAAGTGCCTGATCCCGGATTACACGCAGGCTCCACCTTCATGCAAAGCTGCGTGCTTGTGCAATAACACTCTGGGGCCTCCCCCGCGCTTTCGTCCGCGAGGGCCTCATGCAACTCAGGCTTTCCAAGATCTTCAAGTCTACTTCGGCTGCGGCGTTATTGGTCATGGCCCTCGTTGCTGGCACAGGATGCTCCGATTCGAAGTCCCTCAAGAATTGCCCTCACACTCGGTGCCACACACGGCGAAGCACACGAGCGTGTGGCCTTTCGGATCAGCGCTGTCGCGCAGACGACACCGTGGACAGCAGAGATACAACGGTCGAACGTGAAGTGATTGCAGTCCGAGCACTGGCGAGGGTATGAGACGAAGGAAGGAGTGGCCAGGAAGCCGAAGGCGACCTCAGAAAGAGCCGCGGTACAGAGTCTCAAGGTAGCTACATGGTCCCCGATTATGGGCCCTTTAAGGGGGACCCCTTGTGCACCCCATACTTCAGAATCCGTTAAAGAGGGTGAGGGACCATATTAAGGGCCCATGAAACTTCCCTTAGACCTAGGACGCGCCGGTGCAACTAAGTATAGCCAAGAAGGAGGGCTAATTCGGCCTCACATGGCCTCTCACATGCCTCCCATTCATCAAAGTCACAGCCAGCAGGGTGAGGCCGCGAAGCACGCGCTGAGCCATGGGAGCTCTCTCCAGGTCCAAGGAATCGCACGTTTTGGGCGCTTGAGACAAAAGTCTGTGGACAAAAGTCTTTCAGTGCACACTAAGAGTTGGCATCTGACAGAACCGGGCCATGCTACAGGATCTACAAACTTGACAAAGCCCTTGCCTCCAGGAACTCGTGCGGTCGGCACTGTGTTTCCCGAAAAGTGGGCTGCCAACCTTGCATCTCAGATGCAGCGCCCAGCCCAATCACTCATGTGGCAGGAAGTGCTTAGAAAGGGGGCCAGGCCTTCAGACAGGAGCAGGGCATACATCTCGGCAACATGATACAGGACCTGACACGAGACCCGCAAACAAGAACTGGAGCTTGACATCTGAATGCAGCCATGGTGCCTTCGCGTGTGCTGGTCGAAGCATGCCATCTTTGGTTGCGGCTGATATGTAAAACAGCCTGGCGAGACGAGACTTCCCCGCAAATAGTATGAGACTCAAGGTCGTCTGCAACGGACAACGGAACCCATCAGGAATCCATGCCCGCTAGACAGGGCTGCGAAGGGCGACGGCACAACCTCCTCAAGCACCTACCAAAAGCAGAGCGGCTGATTGGGGCCAACCCAGGCAGTGCACTCAAGAAAGAGACCGAGGCAAGCCTGCTCCACTGTTTGAATCTCCATTTTGGAAGCTTTCATGGTCGTGGCAGCCGCTGCAATTTCCTGGCTTCCAGGACTTCCTGAAGAGCAAACCCCTGGCAGCCTTCTGCAGTGCTCTGCAGCTCCAAGCTCAACGCACGTCAGGCCGGCCAGCTTCTTGCTTCGGACCTCCATCTTATCATCGGTGGCTCCCAGAAGCTGCGCGAGCACCTCATGCGAGAAGGGCGACACAGCCCAAAGGCAAGCAGCACCTCTTGCGAAACTTGAGGCGGACCCTGACCAATCTCGAGGATTACAATATGAACAGTCAACAAATATGACCAAGTGGCGTATGAAACCGTCTTGAGCCACCTGCATGCAGGGCCAAGCGTCAAGAATCGAGCCCATCGTCCGCTAATAAAGCATTGATGTCTTGAGACGCTGACTCTTCACGGCGTCTGCGCTTCATGATGTCCTCACAGACGGGCACAGTAGTGGCATGTCATCTTGCTCTTGACCAATGCAGGACATGCTGTTGCGGGGCCCCAGCCAGGAAGACCGGGACGTGCTCCCAGTCCGAGCCACCAAGCCTAAATCAAAGGCTATCCCCTTCGCTGCCCCCCGAAGCTCATGGCATCATTCCGGCAAAGCAGACCGAGCTGGCGACATTGCTTCCCGAAAAGCTGGCACTCCTTTGCTATGACAGCTCTTCACTCTCACCCACCAGAGACGAGACAGCCTTCTTTTGAAGTTCGGCTCCCGGCTGGACAGCAGCAGCATCGTCTCTCCAGCCACCCTGACCTGCGAGAAGTCACAGGGAAGCTGAGTCCAAATCTGTCCGGGAATTCCACTGCGCGGACTTGTGCTGAGCCTGCTCCTCAAGCAAGACGAGCCTGGCAGACTTGTCAAACATACAAAGAGCGCAACGAGCATCGTGTAGACGTGTAGACTGAGCCCGGCATGGTTTGAATTATATAACGTTGTCCTGTCTGGTTTCTCATAATCTCTCATACGATGACCAATGAGTTTGCCGCTCTTTCGCTATCACGGTTGAGAAGCAACGGCACATTCTGATGCTTGAACAACTCCGTGTGTTCCAAATGCAAGGTGAGCAACCAGTTTTGTGGCAGGCACGGCAATCATGTCGGGCGAACTCGGCATCTCCGGGACGCGCAGCTTCAAGGCGATGAATGATGTCCAGCACCAAGCGCAGGAAGGGAAAGACCTTTGAATCAGAAAAAGCGATGTGCGCTCAAATGAACTTCTGCAACAGCCCGTCTTCGGGTCTGGCCGGAACACATTCAGGATTCAATCCCTCCAGGGCCGTCTTGTCATCGGCGGATTCCAACTCCTTCAACTAGCTTTCATATATCTGCAACCTCAGCATATTATAATATTTCAGCTAGCCTCAAACTGAAGTCCTTTGCCAGCACCGCATAGCACCAGTTGCAGGCCTGGATCACCGCCTTTGAAACACTTGCGAGGCAGCACAAGTCCAGTCCTGGAAAATTAACTGAGCCAAGCACCAGCGGCACGCCACGAATTGCCGTCGCATTGTGCTCGGGAGAGGGGAGGAGCATTGCAATGATGCCCTTGCACACCGGAAACATGCTGCATGTGCAAACATTCCAAGAAAACTCACATGAACACGTGGTCAATGGTATCAAAGTCGGTCCTCAAAGTGACCATTCACGAGCAGATCATTGATAGCAATGCGGGAGATGCTGCGGAACACGAACACCGGCACCACCGTCAGTACGAACTCCTACCAGGATCCCTTTCAGCACTGCTGCAAGGATGCAGGATCAGATTGCTCAAGCCAGGCCATCCTCCTTGCCGTCACCCTTGCTGGTGGCCCTGTCGAAGCCACAGAAGACCCTGCCTGCCAGCGTTGAGCCATGCTTCGAGACATGCCAGCATTCATCATGTGCAAAAGCATGTACGCATCCTTGTGCAGATGATGGCCCGCTTTCATCAAAGGAGCTTTGATCAAGATTGGAGTGAGCCCTAGAAGCCGCTGTTCTGTGATGCAGTGGTCATTGGCTTCTGTGCAATATTGCAGAAGAGCTTCCCACAATGGCCTTGCGAAATCTTGGCAAATCCCGGCTTGAAGGCGACTTTGACGACATCTCCTCAAGGCCATCAGGGGCTGCTGCCTCTGCTGCCCACCCTACTTCCAACTCCTTAGAACCGGTCACTCGACAGCACTCACATTAAATCACAGCCTGCTGTGCGCGTGCTCAGTGGAACTCGCGCTTTGTCTTCAATCCTCAGATCACTCGCAGTGGAAGGCAACGTCAAAGATTTCATAGCAGAAAGGGGAGCGAACACCCGAAGATGTGTGAATTTCTGCTCAACACTGATGTAGACCAAGGTGGGAGCTCCAGGGACATTGCTTGATCTGGGCCTGCGTCGGGCTGCTCTACTCTCTACGAAGGTTCTCAAAGTCATCGGGATGATACATGTGGACGTGTCATGTTCATGGCCGTTGCCAGTCGGCGCACCAGTCGGGGTGAGTAGGATGTCGGTGTTCATGGCCTTCTTGCTCTCACATAGGACCTGCAAGCGACGCATCAACCAGAGGTTCCACATGCGGTTTGTTGGCTGCCCTGGCCTTGACGCTGATTGCGCCGGGCACCTCGAAGGGCAAAGCATGGAAGACCTTTGTGCCATCATCCAAGACCTTGTCCTGGCGAGGGTGAAGCATGAAGTCGTGACGCAAAGATACGCTGGAACACGAGATTTTTAGCCATGCAGGCTCGCCAAGGGCCCCACGAGGGTTGTATCCAAAGGAAAGCGCTTTACCAGCTCCGTGACCTTAGGCATGCAAAGGCTCGGGGAAGCCCCGAAAGGCTGTGCATGGACAGACACACCCTACACCCTGCCCTGCACTACTCAACTATCAGCGATGCAGGCTGTGGAAAAGAAACCTTCGCAACGCTTGCATCATCAGCAGCCGAAGAGACACCAACATCTTGGCCGGGCACGAGTCCCGTCGACAGGTACGTCAGAATCATTCCTGGCAGAGATTGGCAGGTTGCGCCAACGAGTCGGCTTCGGAAACCGGCTTTCGACCCCTTTCCCCCTCCACTCTCAGCCGGTGCCGCTCGACGCGAAGGTGGCCACTGAATCGGCCGCTTCCGGCTGCCCTTTCATTCGCAGCGGCTTCGCCGACCTGGGCAGGGTCGCGCGTCGCCAAAACCACGAAACCAAAATGGTGGCTTGAAAGGGAACCAGGGGATACTGACACAATCCGAGCAACTCCAGGAGCTGCCGCAGGGAGTCGAAGAGGAGCGAGTTCTGCTCGGTCGTGGGCAGGTGCCGCAGCCTTGGAAGCGACAAGTGCGGAAGACTCCGGGGGGGGAGGCGTCGCTCAGCGATCCTCGGAAACATCTGAAAAACAACGACGCGCATCTGAAGTGCCGCATCTTCGCCCCCAAGTTCTTTGGATCGACGCGGACGCTCGCGCAAGTCGTCTGACCACTGCGCTCTATATGGCTGAAACCTCCCTACCTTGACCAAGAAAGAACAACCATACAGCAACCATTCTTGAAATAGCAGATGCGAAACCTCTCAAACCCCCCTTTGGAACAATTACTCTAGCTCGTTCCCGCTTGCCCTGGTAGAGCAGAGTATGTCTTACTCTTGCTCACTAGAAGGCTCGGGTGTTGCTCCCAGAGCGCAAAGTCTTGCGACTGAGCGCCGGCAGCAATGGAGTGAAAAGACGTGCTACATCGTGCATCGGGCAATAGAATCAGTTTGGCTGACTGCCAGTCGACGAAAATCGATAGGTCCTATAGGCCGCTAGGCGATGAAAATCAAGATTTGTGTGAAGACTGTTGCACAGGATCTGGTCATCGTGACACGTCGTTTCGCCAAACCTGGGGCAGCCATTTTGCTGAGTTTTTTCGTTGGCATCTCAGCCAACACGAGGGTGTTGGCCCTCGCATCGCAGCAGTGCACACAAATCCATGGCTGGAGTAGTCTTCGGTTGACTGCAAGAGCAGCTACGCGCTGTGCAGCTACTGAAGCAGAAGATTTGTGGGCACCAGAAGCTGCGGCTCCTAAACTTAATTACATATACATGTTTACTCAAGCTGTGGGAATCGTCCAGCTCGATTGGTTGGTCGCCCGATTGTAGTAATACGTCCTTGGAGCAAGGTGACATGCAACCAGCCACACAACATGACGATCCACAGTAAGCAAGACACTTGCCACTCCCCGCATCCACACCCTGCTCCCATCCAGCGGGAAGCGCTGGCGCCTGAGCACAGGAGCTTGCAATGCTCACAACACACGCGCACATTCCTTCGAATTCTTTGGGCTCCCAGCCTCAGCTGGAGGCTGAGCTTGGCTAGCTCCATCGACTGGAGCAGTCGCACCGTCTACGGCCGGCACTGCTTCCGCAGCTGGTGCTTCAGCGGCCGGAGCAGTCGCCGGATCGGTTGCTAGTGCTGGTGCTGTCGCTGCTGGGCTGGTTAGTGCAGTCGCCGGTGCGCTCGCTAGCGCAGTGGCTGGTGCACCTAAGGCAGTGCCTGGCACAGCGCCTGGTGCAGCACCAGGTGCTGGTGCTGTTGCAACTAACATTTGGGGCATCGCAGCTGCAGGTGCCGGAGGCACCCAGCTTGTCTCGCCCGTTGACCTATTTGCGTAGTAGACCTGCCACAGGCTGCTGTACGTTGCTCTCTCACTTGCTTGTCTCGGAGACGCTGTGACCCTCACTGTTGGTGACTTTTGTGCTCTTGGAGCAAGAAGACAATCTCAATTCCTCAAACTTCTGGAGCAAGCGCCTTGCCGCTGGCTGGGTCGACTGCTTGCTCCCAGCCAGGAGGCAAGGCGGGCACTGCAGTGGGCGCTGACAGCACACCTTCAGGACAGCTTGACAAAGATACCATCATAGCATAGTGGAAGCAACCAAACACCTAAGCCCTTTGCCAGGGGTGCCGGGCAGCACAGCATAACCTGCCGGCCACACTGTCTTGTTACCCAGTAGCAGCAAGAGACCCTGGGTTGCGCTTGGGGCCTGCTGGCAGCGCTCCCTGCAAGGTGCCTGGCAGTCCGCCTGACAGCGTCACGCCACCCATCGCCATGCCAGGAATTGCTCCTCTAGCACCAAAGATTGAAACGAAGCTCATCTCAGAGCTTGCATCTTTCATCATCTTTCAACATTTCCTATCTCGACATTGTCGGACCCGCAAGATGATTCCGGGGTCCTTGGACGGCGCCGTACCCCGCAGGCATCGTTGCTGCCTTGCAATCCCAGCGGTCCCAGCGCGGCTAAAATGGGTAGACAAGTCGAGCATACGTGCAAAACACCCCTAGGCATGGCCACAGCACGGCAAGGGTATCGCGTCGGCCTGCAGACCCGCAACGCCGTAAGGGGAGTAGCGCTGCCTTGGTCTTTAGCGTGGAAATGTTGCCGCGTCTACGGTGCCCGCACACGATTCCAATGCGGCCAAGGAACAGGTCCACATACCCGTTTGGAATGGCACCGTAGCCACCTGGTGCATCTCAAAGATCTACCAAGCAGCGACCGCTAGCACTGGTTCCCAGACGATGCGTGCGCATGGATGCGCCTGCCAAGCCGGCCAGGGCCCCTGAATTTCAGATTCAAAGACATTCTCAAAGAGCATCCGCTCTCACCGGGGTTGCTTCATCAACTGAAACCTGGTTTTGGTGCTCTGCCACTTCCTTTGTCTGCAGTGCCCTGGCATGGCCTGGTGCCGCAGGCAGTGCAGCTGCTATGACGCCTTCCAGAATGCCTCACTCACACGCTGGCTGCTCACACAAGCTCCATATCATAGGCTTCTCCGTTTGGGCTCCGGATTCCGGATGCCGTACGGATCCTTGCCGAGTGCTGTCCGAGGTGCTCCAGGTAGTTGCCTTCGGCTTGTTCGTCCGAGCCTGCAGATGCAGAAACTGCATGCAGGAAGTCCACCCGCAAGTACCAAGAATGTTGCAAACCAGACAGCCCAACGACAAAACAAACACTGCGATTCCAGCTGCTCCAAAAAAGTCTGAATAGCCTCGATTTCTGACTCGAAGGTCACTCTCAGCCCCTCCCGGCACTTGGACTCATCGGAACCTACCTGAGCACGCGTCAAGAAGTCGGATGAGGTATGCTGCCGGCTGCAAGCAGGCTGCCAGGTCATCCGAACTGCCGGCAAGGTGCCAGGTTGCGCGCCGGCGCAAAGATGTCTCCCTGACCAGGCCTACAGCGTCGGGGTTGCCAGCTATTCGGACCATACCCGACTGACAGTCCACGGTGATTGGATGGCCGTTCTTTCAGGTTCGGGTCTGCGGCGTCTACGGTCCCGGGGTTGATTGTATTGTGGGCTTCAACCTGCTCGTAAAGTGAGCTGTCTAAGTGCGTAAAAAAAACAGCCTACCAACCTTTCTCGGGGAATCTACTTCACAAGTGATGCGAAGGCTGAGGTGCAGGCTCATCAGGTGTAATAAAACCAAAACCCTTGTCAGCGAAGAACTTCTTCAAGGTCCCCAGCCTCGGTTCTCGCTTCGTGTCCCTCAACATCCAAGAAGTTTGCAGCGGCAGACTGAGTTGCCGGCGGCATTGCGGGAGGCCGCGCACCCCCCACCGTGCCCGCTTGAGAGTCAACTTTCAGTGTCTTTCAGTAAAGGCTTTGCAAGTCAAGCGATACAGATGCAACAACAAGGCATACTGAATGATGCGAGCAAGCACATGTGCTGTCACTGAGCCCACGGACAGTGACAACAGCGAATCAGGCACTTGCTCCAACCTGGACTTTGGGCATGGAGATATCATGAGACTGACCATGACGTGCAATCCCAAACATGGGGTTTACAGTAAAGCAGTTCCGTTCACGAGGCACCTGGGGCCCCGGCGCAGCAAGCATGCGCTTGGCGGTGCTGGAAGCACTCGCGAGGGCCCCCTGCGATAAGTGCATGACCTGACAAAAAACATCTCCGACATGCAGCGCCTCTACAGCGGCTCTACGCCGCGATACACTGCCAAGCTCCGGAATACAGAGGCAATGGCAAAGCAGCAAGAGCGAAGATCCCCACCCGGGCACCGGACCAGCGGCACCAGAACCTTCGGCGAGCAGGCGCTGCGAACCAGTCGCAGGTCACCGGCCTGCGACAGTTTCGGTACCAGACTAGATAGTCAACTCTGCGTGCACGGGGCGTCCTTCTCTTCTCCACTCTCCTCCGTTCGCGGGGCCTCCTGAAGAACGGACACTGCTGGAGTTGCAGAGGCATCACCAAATGTGGCAAGGAGTGACCATGCTACAAGGCTGGAAATCGGGCCTGCTCCGCGGCTCTCACAAGCCAACGAAGCGTTTGTGCCTCTCGGTTACTGCCGGTGCTGCCTTCACTGTCCAGAAGCGGCATCTAAGCTGCGAGCAACCCAGCGCTGTCCAGGTAGACCACCCGACTCCAGAACTTGAACGACCTGCTTTAACGAAGCATGCAATGTGTAGATAAAAACAATAACAAGTGTGTGTGTGTATATATATATATGTAAGAGGAACCTTTACGTATCATTTGACCTTTGTCCTTGCCTCCTTACTCCAATATAAAGAATTAGAAATTTAACAAATTCAGGCCTTAAGCCGAAACTCCTAAATTCCTAATTCCTTGAAATTAGGAATTAATGAATTTAGGAGTTTCGGCTTAAGGCCCGAATTCCTAAATTCCTAAATTCCTGATTCCCCGGAATTAGGAATTGAGGAATTTAGGAGTTTCGGCTTAAGGCCTGAATTCCTAAATTCCTCAATTCCTAATTCCCGGGAATTAGGAATTTAGGAATTTCGGCTTAAGGCAAAAACTCCTAAATTCCTCAATTCCTAATTCCAGCGGGCCAGAAACCCAGAGGAATTAGAACTTCTGAAATTCCTTGAATTCCTTAAATTTCTCAATTCCTAATTCCCGGAATTAGGAATTTCGGAATTTAGGAATTTTGGCCTTGAGCCGAAATTCCTAAATTCCTAAATTCCTAATTCCCGGAATTAAGAATTTAGGAATTTAAGGAATTCAAGGAATTTCAGAAGTTCTAATTCCTCTGGGTTTCCGGCCCCCTGGAATTAGGAATTTAGGAATTTAGGAGTTTTGGGCCTGTAGCCGAAATTCCTAAATTCCTAAATTCCTAATTTCCGGGAATTAGGAATTTAGGAATTTAGGAGTTTTGGCCTGTAGCCGAAATTCTTAAATTCCTAAATTCTTAATGCCAGAAACCAGAGGAATTAGAACTTCTGAAATTCCTTGAATTCCTTAAATTCCTAAATTCCTAATTCCCGTAAATTAGGAATTTAAGAATTTAGGAGTTTTGGCCTTGAGCCGAAATTCCTAAATCCCTAAATTCTTAATTCCCGGGAATTAGGAAGTTAAGAATTTAGGGAAAGCGGGCCAGAAACCCAGAGAAATTAGAACTTCTGAAATTCCTTGAATTCCTTAAATTCCTAAATTCCTAATTCCCGGAAATTAGGCATTTAGGAATTTAGGAGGCTAAAGGCCGAAAATCATAAATTCCTAAATTCTTAATTCCAGCGGGCCGGAAACCCAGAGGAATTAGAAATTCTAAAATTCCTTGAATTCCTTAAATTCCCAAATTCCTAATTCCCGGGAATTAGGAATTTAGGAATTTAGGAATTTCGGCTACAGGCCAAAACTCCTAAATTCCTAAATTCCTAATTCCAGCGGGCCGGAAACCCAAAGGAATTAGAACTTCTGAAATTCCTTGAATTCCTTAAATTTCTAAATTCTTAATTCCCGGGAATTAGCAATTTAGGAATTTAGGAGTTTTGGCCTTGAGCCGAAATTCCTAAATTCCTAAATTCCTAATTCCCGGGAATTAGGAATTTAGGAATTTAAGGAATTCAAGAAATTTCAGAAGTTCTAATTCTTCTGGGTTTCCGGCCCCCTGGAATTAGGAATTTAGGAATTTAGGAGTTTTGGGCTGTAGCCGAAATTCCTAAATTCCTAACTCCCGGGAATTAAGAATTTAGAAATTTAAGAGTTTTGGGCTGTAGCTGAAATTCCTAAATTCCTAAATTGCTATTTCCAGCGGGCCGGAAACCCAGAGGAATTAGAACTTCTGAAATTCCTTGAATTCCTTAAATTCCTAAATTCCTAATTCCCGGAAATTAGGAATTTTGGAATTTAGGAGTTTTAGCCTTCAGCCGAAATTCCTAAATTCTTAAACTCCTAATTCCCGGGAATTAGGAATTTAGAAATTTAAGGAATTCAAGGAATTTCAGAAGTTCTAATTCTTCTGGGTTTCCGGCCCGATGGAATTAGGAATTTAGGAGTTTTGGCCTTGAGCCGAAATTCCTAAATTCCTAATTCCCGGGAATTAGGAATTTAGGAATTTCAGGAATTCAAGGAATTTCAGAAGTTCTAATTCTTCTGGGTTTCCGGCCCGCTGGAATTAGGAATTTAGTAATTTAGGATTTTCGGCCTGTAGCCGAAATTCCTAAATTCATAAATTCCTAATTTCCGGGAATTAGGAATTTAGGAATTTAAGGAATTCAAGGAATTTCAGAAGTTCTAATTCCTCTGGGTTTCCGGCCCGCTGGAATTAGGAATTTAGGAATTCTGGCCTGTAGCCGAAATTCCTAAATTCCTGAATTCCTAATTCCCGGGAATTAGGAATTTAGAAATTTAAGAGTTTTGGGCTGTAGCTGAAATTGCTAAATTCCTAAATTGCTAATTCCAGCGGGCCGGAAACCCAGAGGAATTAGAACTTCGGAAATTCCTTGAATTCCTTAAATTCCTAAATTCCCAATTCCCGGAAATTAGGGGTTTAGGAATTTAGGAATTTTAGCCTTCAGCCGAAATTCCTAAATTCCTAACTTCCTAATTCCCGGGAATTAGGAATTTAGGAATTTAAGGAATTCAAGGAATTTCAGAAGTTCTAATTCCTCTGGGTTTCCGCCCCGCTGGAATTAGGAATTTAGGAATTTAGGAGTTTTGGGCCTGTAACCGAAATTCCTAAATTCCTAAATTCCTAATTCCCGGGAATTAGGAATTTAGGAATTTCAGGAATTCAAGGATTTTCAGAAGTTCTAATTCCTCTGGGTTTCCGGCCCGCTGGAATTGGCAATTTAGGAATTTTGGTATTTCGGCTTCAGGCCAAAACTCCTGAATTCCTAAATTCCTACTTCCCGGGATTTAGGAATTTGTGAATTTTGGAATTTCGGCTGAAGGCCAAAACTCCTAAATTCCTAATTTCCTAACTCCAGCGGGCCGGAAACCCAGACGAATTAGAACTTCTGAAATTCCTTGAATTCCTTAAATTCCTAAATTCCCCAGAATATTTGTTTCTTTGCAATTTGCAAGGGTTTTAAAAGAATGCAAGGGGCCTTTTCAAATCTTAAGTGGCCTCTGTGGCATTTTCGTTAAGTATCAACAATCTTCGCATGAAAAATATCCTCCGAGTTGTTTCTCCTGAAGAAAAGGAAAAAATACCCTCAAACTCGGCTGGAGTCTCTTGAGTTTCGGCCTGATTCCCTTGAAAGTCTTGGACATCCTCTTTTTCCCCTCGATTTTGAAGAAGCGCCTTGAGTTTTTTGCCGCTTCGATTCCCATTCCCCTGATGTTTTGTCCAAGGGAAGCGTTTTTTTTCACTCTGAAATCTCCCAGGCGCTCGATTGCTGAAGCGAAACGAATATGCTTTGGTCCTAACCCTTGGACGAATAAGGTTTAGGAATAGGGTTAGGCTTAAACATTAAACGAACAAGCTTCAGCCATAAGGCTCGCGCCCCTCCCCCCCTCTCCCGCAACCTCGTCGTGCCCAGGTGCGTGGTTTAGGAATCTAGAATTATTAGACCTCAGCGTCCGGCGCAAAACCTCAAACAAAGAAGGTTCATGCATATGTTTTGGCCTGCAACGTTAAAAGAATAGGTTTAGGAAGGCAATGTCCCAAAACTACAGAAGCATGCGTACAGCTTGGAATAGGGTTTGACCCTAGCCTTAATCGAATACGGTGCTTAGAAATCTAAACGTAAGAAAAATGGGTAGGGTTTATGAGATATTTATTTGTGACTATTGGGGATAATTCATGTGTGAGAAATGATAATTGTTTTCGGTGACCCTTTGGGAAACATTGAAATGACAACCCATGTTTACATACAAAAACACCAATGCCCTCAAATACTTCCTAGTCTTTCGGTTCAGGATTACCGCCCTTTCTTCTCCATTTCTTTATTTGATATACAATACAGACACGCTACATACCTACACGATGTGGGTAGAAATTCCTAGCTGTTCATGCAACACATACATCCTATATACCTGCGCGACGCGTTAGAAATTCTACCTTTTCACACAACGCATATACTCTTCGTTTTTTGGAAAGAACACGAGGGACGAAGAGAAAGGACCTTCTCTTTCCATTTTCCTCGTCAAAAGGAAAAAGAAAATATCTGGATAGAATTGAAGAGAGAGAGCGATGGAAAAACAATGAGAAACAAGAAGGATAGCCTTTTCAGTCTATATAATGTTTCCTTCTTCTGATCGTTTGTTCTTTTGTCTTCGGTTTGTGCCTTGCCTTCCGCTTTTCCTTTGAAGAAGACAGAAAGGAAAGGGTGCGAATGGAGTTTCCTTTGCACGCTTTGATGAACACGTAAAGAAGAGAAGAGAAAAGAAGAGAAGACATGGAAACTGAGGACAGGGGGGGTTTCTTCCTCCTCTGACCTATCCATTTTCTGAATAAGATAAGAGAGAAGCGCTCTTGTCCATTCTTTGTTGTGCAGTCTCTTCCTCTCTCGCTGAGTGAGAAAAGAAAAGAGCAAGGCCACCGAAAAGGGACAAGGAGAACTTCTTCTTCGTTTCTTTAGCAGTTCCCTTGAGTTTCCTAAGCAAAAAAGAACAGAAGACCTGGGAACGCAGGAGAGAAAGAAAGCAAAGAGAGGGTGTAAGGGCACTCAGCGGCCTCCCTTCTTGCCACGAACAAAAACAATCCATCCTCCCCTCTTTTCCCGTCCATTAACTTCTCTTTTCCTTGTCCTCTTGTGTATTCATTTGTCACGTGTAAAAGAAAGCAAAGAAGAGAGAGGAGAGATAAGAGAGACGAGAGAGGATGATGGTGGCGAGATTCATGTGTATTCTTGCATGTTCAGTTTTCCTGCTGTAAGAAAAGCGCTAAAGAAGTGGGAAAACAAAGACGATGCAGGATGAGTAGTGAGTGAAATTGGCGCCTTGCATATGTATTTGTCTTTCTGTAACGAGATAGACTACAGAACAAGGATAAGAGGGCAGAGGGAATTTCTTCGCCCTGTCGTATTCCTTTCTTCCAGACGAGAAGCAAATGGATAAGACAAGATGGAAAGAGATATTCTTTGCTTCGCTGCAGATTGTGGGAAGAAAAACAATGAGTTTAGAATCCAACAGTA